TTTCCTTTTTTTTTTTTTTTTGGATAAGTTAATGGATTTCATAGAAGGCATCAAGACGATGCAAATTCAGAATTTACAGAGCAAAGAAATAGAAAAAAAGACAATGTTAGCTCAATTACAAAAGGTCTAGTCTAAAGTTAAGGAGCTAACAAAGTCCAAAAAAGCTTCAGAGGAATTGACAGGAAAAGATTACTCCAACTACAAAGACTTGTTAAACATCTAACCTTAAGAATGTATTTGGAGTAGTAATGCCTTCAAAGCATCTAGTGTTTCTTTCTATCCAGACACACCAGAAAATACAAGCAGGGATCATCTTCCAAACTGTCCTGATGGATTTCCCAACCTTTCATGAACTCCAGCTAACCAGGGCATCTTTAACACTCGGGCATAACCCAGTTAAGACTAAAAGCTGAGATAAACAGTTAGTGTCTGTTTGCTTCTTGGCCAAATATGCTAAGGTGTCTGATGGGATGGGATGTAATGTTGTTCAGTAGTCTGTATAGCTGACTTCGTACAGTGATTTTGTACAAAATTTTTCTGGCACTTACAGTCGAGTCATTCTTATGGTGCTGAAATAGTCTTTAAGTGAATGGTAGACTTATACAAGTCCCTCAGTCGTTCCAGATAGGTTCTTTTCCCCCCTATTGATAGCTTCATCTTCTGTATGTGTACTCTAGAGCATTATCTTGTAAATCTTAGAAATGTACTTTCAGAGAGGGAGGAAAAAGAAAAGAACAAAAAATTAATTTCCTTTCCAGATTTCTGAAATAACACTAATGTTGGACTGTGTGGTGCTTTTTCTTTTAGTTTTTCGTCTTTCATGGTACATGACTCTCACTTGAATTTATAATAACCCCTGTCAACTCCCAAGCAGATGACTTAGTATTTATCACACAGGATGTTGCTTTTGTTGTGGATGGCTGGGCTCTTGAAATTGTACTAAAACATTACCGGAAGGCATTCACGGAACTTGCTATATTGTCGAGAACAGCTATATGTTGTCGTGTTACTCCATCACAGAAGGCACAGGTATTATGTCGGCTGTCAATTTTTTTTTCCATGCATTATTTTAAGAAGAGAACAAAATCTGTGTTACCTATTTTGATAATGCAAAGTTCATAAGTTCCCGTCACAACTTTTTATGTGGCACTTAACTTAAGCCCTGCAAATAAAGTTCAAGCAGTGGAAAATTATAGCAAGCTTTACTAATTGTATTTAATCTGTCATATCACTATATAAATTTGGTAGTTTTTGTATTTGCTTCATTCCTTTTAATTCCTTGTCAGAGTTAACATTCTCTTTATTTGCATTGCAAGTTGAAAGAGCAACTTATCTGGACAAAATGTTTTTACTACTTTTTACTACTATAACCAGTTCAACAAGCCCCTTAAATTTTATTTGTTGCTTATCTCCAGATGTGTGCATTTATTTTCTTAGTCATAATGAAGTATCTAAATTCTAGCACATCAAAGGTTGTTCTAAATAAACATGTTTGAACGATGAAGAACATGTTAGGAAACTCATGCACAGCCTTAATCTGAATATTTTTAGAAGTTTCTCTCTGGAGCATTAGACGTGGATATAAGTCTTGCTACATGTTCCCAAAACTACAACATTCATGGCAGATATCTTAGAATAGAAACATGGGCAGGGGAAAGGAAAAAAGCTATCATTATCCCTGAAGGTTCTTACAACAAGGGGTGGGGTGAAATTGCAGGGAAATTATTACAATTTTTGGGGGAAGCTTTAAACTACAAATACAAGGAAATCAAAGACTTAGGGAGAAAATCCTTCTTGGCTGCTGCTGAAATCTCAAAATGGCCTTCTCAACAAGAAGATGGAGAGTTCTCCTCAGAGAACTCCAAATTTCTAGCCAAGTGCTTGGTTGGATGCTTCAATGACTCTTTCCACTCTAACCTTAATCCTGAAGTCATCCAGCAGTGGTTCACCAAAATATGGCAGGTGACGGCGGGCCTGAGAATCACCCCTCTAGCCCACAACCAATTCCTTTTCGAACTTCCTTCTAGGCAAGAGGCTGCAAGAGTAAAGGCTGGAGATTGGTTCTAGAATGGGAGGCGCTTGTCCCTAGAGTGGTGGTCACCAGAAGCAGGGTCGTCACCGGTGAATAATGAAGCTGGACAAAAATGGTTAAAGGCTTTTGTGGTTCCTTTGCATGGGTGGACAATGAACAACTTCCGCTTTATCGGTGACTTTTGTGGCGGCTTCGTTGGAATAGATGAAGACACGAAATACAGATCCAACCTTCTCTGGGCTTGTATCTGTGTTCGACGCGAGGAAGTCGACCTCCCAAAAGAGTAAACACTGGTAGTTGATAACTTGAAATACAAAATTTCAATCGTAGAGGACCAACTAATCAAGATAATTACAGAAGAAGAGAGGTTTAATGGGGCTAAGGAAAGATTGAAAGAAAAGATGGTGGAGATGGGGCGGAAGGACGGCAGAAGGAGCCTCTGGTGGAGGCCTCTTCGAGTTTCTCGAAGCTAACAGTGGAAGAACCGGTGGATAAAAGAACAGGGCACAAACATCAGGGCCACTTTAATTCAAATGCATTTAATGAGACCCATGGCAAACTGGGTGACCCACCACATAGGGATTCCACCAACCCAGTTTTATAAAGAGGGCAGTGGAGGGGCTAAGAAGCTGGGTAGGCAACTGGATCTCTCTTATTATTCAAAAGGCCCAAAGGCTAAAAACCTAAAAAACCACCGCCCTCACAGACAAATATGGAAGGCAATTGGGCCTTATCTTGACCCATGTTCCAAACGTAACAGTCCATTGCACTAGTCTAACAGATTCGACCCTCTCAGTGTTGAAATTGAAGCACCAGGTGAAGACCAATTTTCAGAGCACCAGTCTGTATCTCTTGCATGCGACTCCCCTTCTGATGCAGACGATGAGGCAGAGCCAATGAACCAGATTATCCCAAGAACCCCACTGACAAACCCCTTTGGAATGGTAAGCATCTCTGAAGCAGACATCTCCTGTTGTGATACACTACCTCTTCCCTAGTATGGCATGGGCCACCCAAATTCTCGAGACATGGGCACATCAGCAATTATTGAAACCTCAAGATGAACCAAGGCAGCGATGCTCAAAGCGTGTAAGGTCTTTGGGGTTAATGTTGCGGGATTCGAACACGAAATCTTTGATATGATCCTCTCTACCCTTCGGGGTAGGGGTAAGGTCTGCGTACATATTACCCTCCCCAGACCCACTTGTGGGATTATACTGGGTCGTTGTTGTTGTTGTTGTTGTTGTTGTTAGAATGGAGCAAAAAAGACGAGCAAATTCAGAAGCAGAAATCTTCAATCAAGCCCATCACAAAAGGGAAGAAAAAACAGTCACTGGAATTGGAAAGGCTGAGATGGGGAATGAATTATGATGGTAACAAGGCCGGGGAAAGGGACAGGCATTACAAAGCCTTTTCCGGATGAAAATCAAATTCTAAGTTGGAACGCGCGGGGATTAAATGAGGCAGAAAAAAGAACCTCAATAAAATCTCTGATCCACAGATGGAAAGCAGATATAGTATGCCTTCAAGAAACAAAAATTGAAGAATGGCCTACACAATGGATTAGACAAGTCTGGGGCAATAGATGTGTTGACTGGGTAGGGCTAAAATCAATAGGTAGAAGTGGTGGTATCATTGTCCTTTGGGACAAAAGGGTTTGGCTTAACAGAGGGGTGCACCAAGGCCATACACAATTTCATGTATGTTTGAAAGCGCACTAGAGAACTTCAGGTGGTGCTTTACAGGGGTCTATGGGCCTCACAATAACTCAGAAAGGGAGAATTTTTGGCGCGAGCTTGCAACCATCGGAGGAATTTGGGAAGATCAATGGGTCATAGGGGGTGACTTCAATGTCCGTAGATATGAGAGTGAAAGATATAACTGCATAAGGAGATCTAAGGCCATGAAATCCTTCACTGAAACCATACAAGACTTGGGCATCATAGACTTGGTTTAGGGGTGAAGACTCGCTCCAGGCATCCAGAATTGACAGGTTCCTCATTTCTCCAGAATGGAATGACAACTTCAAAGCAATCAAGCAACTAGCCCTGCCTAGCGTTGTCTCTGACCACAGACCTTTGCTTCTGGAATGTGGAGAATGGGCAGCCAATCCCTCATATTTCAAATTTAAAAATATGTGGCTTCAGGCTTCAGGCTTCATGGATAAAATAAAGGAATGGTGGCTTGATTATGCAGTTGATGGTAGCCCTGACTTCATTCTTCTGCAGAAACTAAGGTGCTTGAAAAAGGACATAACAAGTTGGAATAAGGAATCTTTTGGCCAGTTGGAAGCGAGGAAGACCAAGCTCCTAGAAGACCTAGCTCTTCTGGAATCAACAACTGAAGGCAGATTAATGTCACAAGAGGAAAAAGAAGAATCAATGCGCATAAAGCTGGAGTTGCAACAGATGGCAAAGGCAGAAGAGATCTCATGGAGGCAAAAGTCCAGGTGTTTATGGCTCAAAGAAGGAGACAGGAACATCAAATTCTTCCAGAAAATGGCAAACTCCCATAGAAGAAATAACTGTATAGACAAACTGATGATTGGGGATGATATCTGTGAGGACAGTGAGGAAATTAAAGCTAAAATCTTGAATTTTTATCAGGATCTATACACTGAAAATGAACCATGGAGACCTAGTGCTAAGTTTGAAAATTTAGCTACCCTATCAGCAGATGAGATGATATGGCTAGAAAGAACATTTGAAGAAGAAGAAGTGAAGGTAGCAATTAACTCCTGTGCGCCGGATAAAAGCCCAGGCCCTGATGGTTTCACGATGGCTTTCTTCCAAAGAACATGGGATATAATCAAAGCTGATCTAATGGGGGCTCTTAATCACTTCCACCAACACTGTTACATGGTAAGGTCTTGCAATGCATCCTTTATCACTCTCGTCCCTAAAAAGAAAGGTGCAATAGAACTCAGAGACTTCAGGCCCATAAGTCTCATTGGAAGTGGGTACAAGATCATAGCCAAGCTCTTAGCAGAAAGGTTGAAGAAAGTCATTTGGAAGCTCGTATCAGAAGAACAAAATGCATTCTTGAAAAATAGGCAAATCACAGATGCTTCTCTTGTAGCAAATGAGTTACTGGATGAGAGATTAACGAGTGGGGTCCCAGGCATTCTATGCAAGCTAGATGTAGAGAAAGCTTTTGATAAAGTCAATTGGTCTTATCTACTCTACACGCTGAAAGAAATGGGGTTTGGGGACAGATGGATCAAATTTAGCCTGACCACTGTTAAATACTCCACCCTAATCAATAGATCTCCAGTAGGTTTTTTCCCCTCAGAAAGGAATAAGGCAAGGAGACACCCTGTCTCCCTACCTATTCATCTTAGCTATGGAAGGTTTGAGCAAAATGCTGGACAAGGCAAAGCAAGTGCAGTGGATTGAAGGGTTCAAGGTGGGAAGCAATACTGATCTATCAGTTTCAGTCTCCCACTTGTTGTATGCAAATGATACTTTAATTTTTTGTGGGGCAGAGAAGCTTCAAGTTCAGTACCTAAACTTGACTCTCCTTCTTTTTGAAGCCATCTCAGGACTGCAATCAATATGGCAAAAAGTGTGATCTACTTGTGAATGAGGTGTCTAATCTAGAGGAACTGGATGGCATTATGGGTTGTGTCACTAGCTCGCTCCCAACAACATACCTTAGGAGCAAAGCACAAAGCAACTGAAGTCTGGAATGGAGTCATTGAAAAGGTAGAGAAAAGATTGGCCTCTTGGAAAATGCAGTATTTATCAATGGGGGGCAGATTGATGCTGATTAACAGTGTACTGGACAACATCCCTACTTATGTCATGTCTCTTTTCCCAATGCCATGCAGAGTCCGAAAGCATCTAGACAAAGTCGGAAGAACATTTTTATGGGAGGGCAACAGTGAAGACCATAAATTTCATTTGATCAAGTGGTCCAAAGTCATCATGCCAAAGAACCAAGGTGGCCTAGGTGTTACAGATCTACAAAAGCACAACAGGAGCCTTCTATTGAAGTGGTGGTGGAGGTATGCACAAGAAAACTCATGCATGTGGAAGAAGGTGGTGACAGCTAAGTATGGGAAGTTAGACAACTGGAGCACTAAGCAAAGTAGAGCTCCACATGGAGTAGGGCCTTGGAAGCATATCAACAGTATAAAACAAGAATTCTTTCAAGAGGTATCTTTCAGAGTAGGGGATGGCAGCTCGGTTAAATTCTGGAAGGATAGGTAGATCCTACACCAACCTCTAAAAGACACTCACCCAGGCATCTTCCAGATAGCTATAGACCCAGACTCAACAATTGCCCAGAATAGAGAAGGGAACTTATGGGAACCCCATTTCAGAAGGAATTTGCAGGACTGGGAACTAGATGAGCTCTTTGATCTCTACAGAACCATTGAAGGTTCCTCCATAGATCTTCAATCCTCAGACAGGCTAAGATGGGGCAATTCTAGCAAGGGTGTATACACAGTGAAGGCAGGGTACAACAAATTGTGTGAATCCAATGAAATGATTGATAACTAGCCATGGAAGCACATATGGAGGTCAAAATTACCTACTAAAGTAATGTGCTTCTCCTGGATTGCCCTCAGATATGCTGCCTTGACTCAGGGATAATCTATGCAGAAGGAGCCTCCAACTGGTCAACAGATGCTACATGTGCTACAGCAATGCTGAATCAGTGAATCATCTCTTCTTGCACTGCCCAGTGGTATCCGATATTTGGAATATGTTCTTAGCAGTATTCTGCCTCAGTTGGGCCATTCCTCAGGACATCAAGGAAGCAATCGAAGGCTGGTGCTCTTGGAAAGTTGGGAAATCCATCAGAAAAACCTGGCAAATGATCCCAGCTTGTATATGCTGGAGTATATGGACAGAAAGAAATTCCAGGTGTTTTGAAGGAATCTCAACTTCCACTAGCCGTCTGAAGTCTAAGTGTCTAATGAATCTGTTTAGTTGGAGCAACCTTTCCCCTGTAAATGATGTTATTCCCCTCCTAGATTTTATTAGCTCCTTTAACACGGCTTAGTGCCTTTCTTTTGGTTATTGGTCTTGGTTAACTCTAGTTTCATAGGTTTTTGTCTTTTAAGAGTTAACCAAAGACTTACACTTTGTATCCTTTTTGGCATCTTCTTGATGCATTCATTCAAACATCTTATTTCATCAAAAAAAAAAAAAGATTAGTTGTATGTTTTTACATAAATATTAAGTTTGAAGAGTTATTTATTAAGAAATTCTTTGATAAAAAAGATAGTCCAATAGACCAATGTCTTCTCCGTGTAGTTTTAAAAACAAAATGGGCAGATATGAATGTTAACACAAGGATAACCCATAGACTCCACTTCACTTTGAACACCCTTGCCCATTGGGCTACTTTGTCAACTGTGCAAAGGGTGTTCAAAATATATATATATATATATATATATATATATGCATATAAAGTGGTATTTGACCTATATGCACAATATAATTTTCGGCGAAGGGTGTTCGCTTGACCACTCTTATCCCAATGTAGCTACGCACTGGAGCAATAAGTAAATCCAGCTAAACAATATCACATGCTTAAATAGTCATTTTTTGGGTGTGGGGTGGTGGTGGGTAGTAGTGACTGTAATATTTCTGCTGTGCTGTTTGAAGAGTGATACATAGGGGGTCTTGTTATTTTCATTCTTTTTTCACTAGCAAAGACCCACCACCTCATAGAAAGGTTACTGCATGTTGATGTAGCAGAAAGTTTCGCCCGCTACATATATATTTTAATGAGATAAAATGGAATTGTTGGACACAGAACAGTTCAGCTTCTATAAAGAAAACTTATTATAACTAGAGCAAAAATACTTGGAGTTTCTGTATTTTGCTTTTCAACGATGACACTTTTGAACAAATTGGTTTTCCTTGTATGGCCGGGTCAATTTTACCTATGTTTGCAGATCAAGCATTGAAAATGATGCTTCAATCTCTTATTTAAATATACATTAGTTTGAATTTAGGAAAGCAATAAAAATTCATAAGCTGTTTTTGTGCTGGTAACTATGGGATATGGTCTTTGGATAGCAGAATGCTCTTCATGTTGATGCTTGTAGTTCGTAAAAGTACAGCTTATGGGTGTGTAGATCTCAACTACATTTTATTACTTTCAGCTGGTAGAACTCCTAAAATCCTGTGAATATCGAACACTGGCAATAGGGGATGGCGGAAATGACGTAAGGATGATCCAACAAGCTGACATTGGAGTTGGCATAAGTGGGAGAGAAGGACTGCAGGCAGCAAGAGCAGCTGATTATAGTATTGGAAGTGAGATCTCCAATGCTCTTCTTTTTTATGTTTCAACGTCTTACTTATGACGATTATAACAGCTGCTTCTTAATTTACCTCACATCTTTCCTGTGGCAGAAAGAATGTCAAGAATATGAAATAGGTAGCATAATAGGTGGCAGTCTAGTTTAGTACTCACTAAGATTTAAAAGCTCTCTCGCTAAAGATCGGAGGTGATGATAGATTGATAATTATGCATTTGTAACCAGTGGTAGACCCAGGGATTTGAGCAAGTTGGTTAGACACTTGGATATTATATATATACTCCTGCTGAAATTCATCTATCATTTCTTGGGAAATGCTAAAACAAAAAGGGTACTTATAGGCGTTAATATTTTGGTATTTACCAAACTCATTATCTTTTAATGTTTCGTGCAGAATTCAGGTTCTTGAAAAGACTGATACTTGTCCATGGACGTTACTCTTATAATAGGACAGCATTTCTATCCCAATATTCCTTCTACAAATCCCTCCTAATATGCTTCATCCAGATTTTGTAAGTGCTAAACTTAGTTTGTCGTTGAATGACTCTTGACAGCTGTGACTATGTCCTGTACTAACATTACAATGCATACCAGCTTCTCATTCATTTCAGGTGTTTCTGGAACAAGCCTTTTCAATTCTGTTAGTTTGATGGCATATAATGTTTTCTACACAAGTGTTCCTGTTCTAGTCAGTGTCCTTGACAAAGATCTCAGTGAAAAAACGGTAATGCAGCATCCACAAATACTGTTCTACTGCCAAGCAGGAAGGTTTGAGATTTGTGCTCATTAAGTCTTTTGCATCTTAATTATTGTAGATGCTTTTCATCTGTTCCAAAAGACGCAGTTGGATTATAGCTTTGCTTTTTGTGGCTTCTCTTTCCATGAAGGATTATTCATTTAATTTTCACGTTCTCTGATATTATACTAACCCCTTTTTTTCATTAAACCATTTTCTGAACAGGCTTCTTAATCCTAGCACATTTGCTGGATGGTTTGGACGGTCTCTCTTTCATGTGAGTACTATTTGGTTCAAATTTCTAATGTCATTTAGTGGAGTCCTTACAACTGCACATCAATCATTTTGAATTTGCAGTCTCTGGAGATTTTGCAAGTCCTGGAAGTACATAGACTTTGGTGTAGCCAGTCATTATTCATATTTGCTTTAACTTAGTTTGCTTATCCTGGATGTTTCCAGTTTCAATTTACTTTAGCTGTTCCCTCCTCCAAAAAGTTTACCTTTACTTCTTTGTCCATTTCAAAACACCCATCTATTTCCTTAAGTGGAAAGTTTCTCCTTTTGCACTGATCAAAAGAAAGTTTCTCCTATGAGAATTCTATTCAATATGAACCAACACTATGTGACATTATTTTGATCTTGATATAACATCTTCAATGGGGAACTCAACTTCTTTTACGTTTCAAAAAGTTTACTCTTTCTCTACCAACTTTAATCTAGGCAAACTTTCTTGTATTGGTCTTTTAGCAAGAAGAAGGTTTACTTTTATTAGATGGAGGGAGTACTTTTTGGTCCAATGCATATTATAGAGAAGTGTAATGTCACAGCCCAAGTCCATGACACGTATTATCCGCTTTGACCCAAGAGACCTCACGGCTTTGTCCCTTGGGTCATCGTCGAGCCCTAAAGTGCACGTACCATGTGAGCTTGTGCTTTATCTTATATAACACTTCACTCTTCTCTCTCTTTTTGATGTGGATTGGCCTAAAGTGTCATATGCCTCCCTTCTTCAGAAGCTTACCAGCCTAGAAGCCTTCTAGTCCTTCTCTTCGTCCCACCCTCATCAACCTGCCCTCCATCATAGGCGTTACATATCACCCCCTTAAGGACTCGATCGTCTGAGGATTGACCATATTTGTTATAGCCCATGCCATGGCGTGTATTGTCCGCTTTGGCCGAATAAACCTCAAGGATTTGTTCCTTGGTACGCCATCATCAAGCCAAAAAGCGCGCGTACCATGTGAACTTGTGTTCTGTTTTATATAGAATTTCACTCTTCTCACCCTTTTGATGTGGGATAGGCATAAGTGTCATATGCACCCCTTCGTTGGAGCTTGTTAGTATAGAAGTGTGCCAGTCCTTCTCTTTGACCCATCCTCCGTCATGGATGTCACTTACACCCCCTTAAGGTTTGCGCTAACATCATTCTGTGGGAGTCCGATTCCGATACCATACTTGTCACATCCTAGCCCATGACACGTATTGTCCGTTTGGCCCAAACAAATATCATGGATTTGCCCATTGGGTTGTGCCATAATTGGCCCAAAAGAGCATGTACCATGTGAATTTGTGCTCTATCTTATATAGCACTTCACTCTTCTCTCCCTTTTGATAGGAGATTGGCATAAGGTGTCATATGTACCCGTTCTTCAGAAGCTTACGAGCCTAGAATCCTGACAGTCCTCCCCTCAAGAGGAGGATTCCTTTTTATTTTGAGAAATAGTTTCATTCGCACTAAAACAACATCATACTTTCAAGGCTAAAGGAAGATCTTTTGACCCAGGAAGCCATACAGACCCAATCTTCCATGGCTACTTCCTCAAATAAGGTGATGATTTAGCCTTCTCATTTTCCTTGACCCACCCTCATCGGCCCTCCCTCCGTCATGAACGTCACACATAACCTGCTTCCATCCTTTATTTATCTAATCAAAATACTGAACTAGGTCAAACTGTCAAACTTTCATAGATTACCTTTAATAATATAATATCAGGCGAGGCAAAATAAACCCGAGCTTCAAATTAACAAACAACTTTTTTGGGGTTAGTTCGCATACTAAGATGGAGTTTGTCTTTTAATATGAGTCGTCATTATACAGACCCATACAAACTGTTATAATCAACTGGATACAAAAAAATTCCTATCATGTCAAAGAAGAAAACAAAAAGCAGAATTCTTTCATATCTGAGACGTATTATCTGGTTTCTCTGCTGTTGACTTGGAGCTTGACCTTTGTGGAGGCTTTCCTAGAGAATGACGTAGGCTTATTCTGATGGGTATTCATCTGCGAATGAAACTATAATTCTGCTGATTTCTAGTTTTCTTGGAATGTTATACAAGTTTGCTCAATAATATTTGCCACATTTTTGCTGAAGGGGCTTATGGCCTTGAGCTGAATAAAGGAATTTCATGGAGAAGTCAATGTGTCATTTGTTGGAGAAATTTGGAAGAATTTGTAGTTTAGATTCTTTCACTCATTTTCTGATCAGTTTAAGCATGCGTTCTCTTTTAACTTTTTTTGTGTGGGTACGTTGACATTTTTATCGTCTTTAGTTTGGTGTAAATGTAAGATTTGACTGTCAGATATCGTTAACCTTATTTTGTTTCACCGAAAAGCTAAAAGAATTTCTTGGGACATATTATGCGGTATTTGCATGTGTATGTGCCTGCATACAACTTATTGAAATTATCAATCGCTTAATAGTTGGTTATATCTGCTGCTACCTGTTTCTAGTTGTCTCTGTTGAATCTGGTTTTAATATTTAGCCATAATGATTGGAGGTGGTTTTTTCAGGCTATTGTTGTCTTTGTCATCACCATACATGCATATGCTTTTGAGAAAAGTGAGATGGAAGAAGCATCCATGGTGGCACTTTCAGGATGTATTTGGTTGCAAGCATTTGTTGTAGCACTGGAAACAAAGTAAGTATATGTTCTAAATTTCACTACCTTATCCACAGATTCTAGCCCCCGGTGCTTGAGTAGGAAAGAGGATTCTGGCTGCGGATCCTTCATGAAAGTTGGAAATTTAGTTGGTCCTCAATTTTAGCTGGTTTTCAAGCCCATGCCACATGTCAGCACCCTAGGGGTATGTTTAAAGGCTTCACTTTCTTCCCATTGAAAAGAACTATAGAGAAAAGACATAAAGAAAAGGAGAAAGCAGGTCTTACTATCATCATTGCTATCTTATCATGTGTGGTTGTTCGTACCTTTAGAGTCTCTTTGTCTGATTGTTATGGTCCATTGCAAGGTATTGGACTTGAGTCCCACGCTGGTATTGCAGTGTTCGCCCGGGGCTAGAAAGGTCTAGCGCACAGCCGTCGGGGACGACGGATGCAGAGTGTGGTGGTTCGTTATAGTCCATTGCAAGGTATGGGACTTGAGTCCCACATCGGTATTGCAATGTGCTGATGTGGGATTTATATGGCTGTTAGAGATAGCTATGTAATTGTCCCACATTGGAATAGGAGTAGTATCCCCTTTGTATAGAGTAACTATAAATAGCACCTCTTGTATTGCATCACACACCATATATCAATATATATCATATTTTCTCCCGTGCCTTCTCACATGGTATCAGAGATTTTCACTGGGATTTGGTCGCCGGACAGTGACTACTCTTGTGGTAGTGTTGGATTTTGTGCACAACACTGACCGAGACAAAGCAAACGTCACATTTTTCGAGTCTAAACCTTTTTTCACAACTGATGTCACTTCTGCTGACCACCATGACATATCTGAGGTCTTACCTATACCAACTTTTGAGGAGTTTAGTAATCCTCCTCCACCTTCAACCACAGAAGTTTCACCCATACCAACTTTTGAGGAGTCCAGTATTATCCCTCCTATTTCCCCAGCCACAGGAACACCACTCTTGACTTATCATCGTCGTTCGCGCCCTACATCAGGCCCATCTGGTTCTCGTCCTGCACCTGACACGGCTCCTGCTCCTAGTACACTGATTGCACTTCGAAAAGGTATACGGACCACATTAAACCCTAATCCTCATTATGTTGGTTTGAGTTATCATCGTCTGTCATCTCCCCGTTATGCTTTTATATCTTCATTGTCCTCGGTTTCCATCCCTAAGTCTACAGGTGAAACATTGTCTCATCCAGGATGGCGACAGGCTATGAGTGACGAGATGTCTGCTTTACATACAAGTGGTACATGGGAGCTTGTTCCTCTTCCTTCAGGTAAATCTACCGTTGGTTGTCGTTGGGTTTATGCAGTCAAAGTTGGTCCCGATGGCCAGATTGATCGACTTAAGGCACGTCTTGTTGCCAAAGGATACACTCAAATATTTGGGCTAGATTACAGTGATACCTTCTCTCCAGTGGCTAAAGTGGCATCAGTTCGCCTTTTTCTATCCATGGCTGCAGTTCGTCATTGGCCCCTCTATCAGTTGGACATTAAGAATGCCTTTCTTCATGGTGATCTTGAGGATGAGGTTTATATGGAGCAACCACCTGGTTTTATTGCTCAGGGGGAGTCTCGTGGCCTTGTATGTCGCTTGCGTCGGTCACTTTATGGTCTAAAGCAGTCTCCTCGAGCCTGGTTTGGTAAGTTCAGCACGGTTATCCAGGAGTTTGGCATGACTCGTAGTGAAGCTGATCACTCTGTGTTTTATTGCCACTCTGCTTCAAGTCTATGTATTTATCTGGTAGTCTATGTTGATGATATTGTTATTACGGGCAATGATCAGGATGGTATTACTAATCTGAAGCAACATCTCTTCCAGCACTTTCAAACTAAGGATCTAGGCAGAGTGAAGTACTTTCCAGGTATTGAGGTTGCTCAATCTAGCTCAGGTATTGTTATTTCTCAAAGGAAATATGTGTTAGACATTCTTGAGGAAACAGAGATGACAGG